GCACTATTAAAAGGACCTTGAAATATATTCTTTCTCTAATTTTCATTTACATAACTTTCTATTTTTGTTTTAAATACCAGTCTTTAAATTCCAGTTTGATTTGAATAACAAAAGAATTTTATTTGAATTACTTTATGCTAAACATTGCAACTTTGTAAGAGATATGGTACTAACAAAAGAATTTTATTTGAATTACTTTATGCTAAACATTGCAACTTTGTAAGAGATATGGTATTAACAAAAGAATTTTATTTGAATTACTTTATACTAAACATTCCAACTTTGTAAGAGATACGGTACTAACAAAAGCCCAAAAAGAATGGCTTGGTTCTGGTTTGAATAAAGTTGATTTGCTTGCACTGGGTACAGCAACAACTAATTTTTGTTGCATGCATAAAATTGTTGTTCAGTACTTTAATACTGAACTTTGATACTTTATATTTTGAGAACTGTTCATCAAAAGTTTGTTGCACAACAAAAATAAGTATGTACAATTCAGATATTCTGAAAATGTATTTACTTGATTTGCATCTTGATTTCTTCCCAGTAAACTTAGGTACAGTCAGCAATAAACTTCCACCACAACATTTCGTTGATAGATTCATTCTATCAGGATTGGTTGAGTGCAGTAATGAGGTTAGACTAATGTTGGATGCTTCAGCTTGAGTTGCCAACTCATAAGTATAAACAGTCCACAAATTCAAGAAATTTAAATCATGAACATAATTAAAAAAATTTTTGCACATATCTTACAGACTTATGTTACAATACTATAGATATTACAAAGTGAATTTTATTTTATCATATAATTTTAAACATTGTATATATAAGTAGTTTTAATGAGTGTTCTAAATGAGTGTCCTCAAACCTAAATGTAGCACTTAACCACTTTCATGAAGCATTAACTTTGAAAATAAAATTTTGTGGAAAATTGCATTTCTTATGTTTTGTAGTAATTTATTGGATTATAAAATTCAAGATCATGGATATTTCAAGCATGATGGATCATAAAGGCATAATGGTTAATGGTTTGCATATTTGAAATTAGCATTATCAAATTGACTAAGATTGAATATTAACATGTGCAAGACATCTGCAGAAATCTTCTGTTGTACAGTGTAACTTATTGTTTTTGTAATAACAGTTTTTTCTTTCAAATTTTGACTTTTTTCAGCACTTATCTCTGAAATAATGAAACTCTCTTTAATAATGAGTGTTCTAAATGAATGTCTTCAAACCTTGACTAATTCTTTGTCTATCCGAGCCCAAATAGATTTGACTGAATTTATATCTGGTGGTAAAACTAACCAAGTCTTTAAACCTTGTCCTTTCATCCATGCTTACACTTGTCATTAAACTCAATGATTACTTTTTTTGATATTTAAAAAAAAAAAGAAATATTTAAGTGAACCTATTGTGTTACACCAAACTTGCCAACTTTGTAAAACTTTGTAAATCAACAACAGTTTTTTGTATTTCATGAATTCAGCACTGTTGTTGCCAAATTCCCAAAATCATGCTAGGCCAGAAAATGATTTTGCAGTCCGTGGTAGTACCATGTTTAACCAAAAACTGTATGACCGTCTTGTCTGACAAAATAATTAATCTAGTAGACAAGATTTGTAATTCAGAGTTTAGAGTTGAAATAATGTAACAACAACAACAAAAATTTGCATTAAACCCAAAACTCTGCTTTTTTGAGTAATATGGCTGAGAGATTTATTGTTATGGTTTCTTTATTAATAAAAAAATTAAATTTTTAAACACCAATCTTTATATAAAAATTTAACAAAACTGAAAATTTTTTTCTTATGCAGGAAATAAAAAAATAAAAAAATTACGTATTTGACCAAGCTAATTTTACTAACCCTCATAAAGTCTTTTCTTATTTGAGAACATCATCTACAATTAACTGATAATATTTGATGGAATGAATACTATTACGCCCCAAAAATTTATCTCACTTCCGAGACATTCAAAACTGTTTTTATAACAAAATTGTTTTTATAACAGTTAGTTCTTTATTCATATCTTGTGGTATATCATATAATGGTGAAATAGCATCTCCACTAGTAACATCAAGTGTTGGTATGTGATGATCTTACAACATATTTTTTTCACAAGCTATTTTTTCTGTAGAACAGCATCTTCACTACTAACATTGAATAATGGCATGTTGTGATTTTTTTTTTAGATTTATTAGTTTATTTTTCCCCTTCCTATAAGAACTCTATATCTTCTTTAAGACTCCATCGTCAATTTTTATTAAAAATTCCTAAGGAGTTAATGAAAATAATATCATTATGGATTTTTGACCAAACACAGCACTATATGGATTCATTTTATTAGCTTTATCGTAAGTAGTATTCATTCTTCATTGAACAATGCGTAATCCAGAACAAAATTTTATTGCTACTCATCCATGCAATTAATGCTTTTTTAAAAGTTGAGTTGCTTTGATCAACTGAACCTAACTGAAACTTTGCGGATATTGTGGTCTGCCTTTTTTTTTTTTTCGCAACCTAATTGAATAACTAAACTTGTTAATTCTCATTTTTTTAAAAAAAAAAACATTTGTGAAATATTTGAGCCCTAAAGTCTAGAAAAACATAAAGTTTCTATGGCAACTTCAGATGCTTTCTTTGACATAAAGGGACGCAAAATACTATATTTTGCTAAATGTTCCTGATAGTGAAAGATACATTTAAAATCCTCATCGGAAAAACTTTAATCAAAGAGAACATGTTGATCAACAAGATCAACATGTTCTCTTTGATTAAAGTCATTAACTGTAATAGGATGAACTGCAATTTCTTTATGCACAGGTTTTCTTGAATTTTCAGTACATCTATCAAACTCTTGACAGAAGCTAATGTTATATTACTGTAATTTATATAATATAATACTGTAATTTATAGTTTTCACACAATAATAATGCCTTAGAGAAGTTAAATTAACATTGTATTCAGAGTTTTCAATTTCAATGATATTATTTTTTTTAATTTTTGTTCCATTATGTTTTTTTTGTTTTATTTATGTTTTTCACTTCAGACATAGTTTAAACAATTTTGAAAATTTTAACTGTCCGAAAAAATCATTTACTGGGTTATAATATTATTTTGCGAATTTGGCAACAACAGCACCAAACTCTTGAAATAGGCAATATTTTTGTGATTCCACAAATTCAGCAAGTTTGCAAAATTAACATATAACACCATACTACACGCCTTGAAATTTTTTAAAAAAAGTCTGCTCCCACCCACTAAAAGAATTTTATATAAAATAAAATTTTTTGCAGATAAAAAAAAATATTTTAAAGGGTGACCCTTGGTATCAGTGTTAGTACTTCTGATGTGCATTGTCAAGGCCACATCTGTCATGTTATGACATCTATGGTTCCAATTTTTAAAAACTTTGGAGAACACTCTGACCAGTCTTCTCTGTTTAGCTAGCACTTTTGCTTAAGTTTTTTTGTGCTCACACACATGCCTGCAAAAACTTTGCCGAACCCATAAAAAAGCGCTTGCCAAAAAACTTAAAGCATTTTGTTTTAAATTGCAACAAAACTTATCTAGTATTTATTTCTCTTTCTTTTCATTCTTTTTGCTATTTTAATTTTGATTTAAATATCAGAAAAAATTTTTTTTAAACGCGCAGGCTAAATAAAAAATGACCATCCTGTCAGCACTTTTTTGTGCGCTGGCATTAAATTTTAAACAGAGAAAACTGTCTGAACCCTACAACTATCTTCCGATTGCATGCTGGTCTTATCCATAAGTTTGCTTCATATGGTATATGTAAAATATTAATGAGATTATTAAATCATTTTTTTGTAACTACTTTCATAAAGTCATCATTGAAGGCCAACATATTCATATCTTCTTCATATCCAGTAACTTCAGTAATGCCTGGAGTACCTCAAAGTTCAATCCTTGGTCTTGTTTTGACTACATCTACATCTTCCTGACAAACTCATATCTAAAGTGGCTTATTTTGCTGATGACTCAACTTCATATTTCTGTCTTGAAAAAAAGTCTTTTTTATCAAGACAGAAATATAAGGTTGAGTCTTTTCTACCACTTCTGTAACAGATCAGGGCTTGCAGTGGCTTGTGAAGTTTAATTACAACAAAACATACTTATTTATTACAAATAACTATCACAACTCATTGTTGACATATTAACTAATTCTTATATTAACTAATGGCAACCCTTTCGCTGAGTCCTTTACTTTTTAGATTATCTTTCACTACTGACCTCTAATGGAAACCATATATACAATTCTTTTCAAAATACTGCAATGGTTAATGCTCAATGAAACAAAAAGTTAGAACTACCATCTTTAGTTTCATCATCTCGTTCTTCCTTGACTTGTCATTCAGCAAAGTCCTTTTCCTGTGTCTGTCCATTCATGCTTTAAAAAATTTTACTTATCTAGTTTTTTTCTTTGCTCGAAGCTTTGTTTGGAATGAATTAGTATTTTTTTTTTTAAATTACCATTTGATATATCCAACAGACTTTTTTTGAAACTGGGTAACTGGGTATATATATGAAGCATTTGAAGCAGATACTAAATCTTTCAAAAAATTAGGGATAACTTTAATTAAAAATTTAAAAATTAGGGATAATTTTTAAATTTTTTTACCAGGTATTTTAAGTCTTTTTGCCAGGTCAAAAAGGTTGAAAAAAAAGTTTTTAAAATTAAAGTTTTTATTTAGCAAACAAGCAATAAAAAGTTGCCAATTTTTCATTAAAACAAAAACAATGTTGAAAAAAACATTTCAAATTACTTTTTGTTATAAAACTTAAAAAATATGTTTAAAATTAATTTTAAGTTTACACTTAAATTTTTTCTTTTTTAACTTTAAATAATTAAGTTCCTTATTAAAGAAAAAAAAAAGATTTTGACAGTTAAAACTTTTTTTTTTTTACTTTTTTCACTTGTGCTTTGTAAACTTTAATCTATATAAGATATAAAAAAATTCTTCTAGTAAAAATTACTTCATAATATCATCTTCAATTGCTCTTATACTATCTTTATTTGTGTTCATTGCGCCCATTGTAGCACTACCAAAGTCACAAAGTACAAATTCTCCATTTTCTTTTATCAAAATATTCTCAACCTAAAAATTTAATCCGAAAAGAAATCAATTTATAAAATTAATTTTAAGAATATTTTAAACCAAATTAATATTTAAAGAAAATAAGTGAGAAAATAGAGCTAATTCAAAAATAAATCTATAAATCTAACAATTATTTGTTTTCATATTTATATGTACTGTATGCCACTAAATGGATACCTCAAATTCAAAAACAAAGTTATGAAACAAGAATTAAAATACATGGATCAGGTGGAAAAGACAACTTAATTCAAATGAACATAATATAGAACTAGATGGTAATATTTTTGAGAAATAATTAAAAACTGCAATCTTTATCATCAAGTCTTAACCTCTCTCAATGAGTCTCATCAATGTGGAACAAACTACCTGATTTTAACATCAAAAACAAAAGCTTGAACTTATTGAAAACTCGCATTAATAAATACCTAGAGCTATATGATTTATAATTTATAATTTAATTTTATTTACCTAGAAAAACTAAACAACGTATATGCTGTCAAAGTGAAATTAATTACTATTAATTTTACTTTTCGAACAACTGCAGCTTTCTATTATATATTATTGTTTTAGATTGTTTTTTTTTGTTTGTTTTTTAATAACATTTTAAAAATTATAAATTTTTAAATTAAAATAAATTTTACAATTCTTAAATTGTATCTGTTGATATTTTTGTAACTATTAAAAATTAAACAACTTTTAGTAAAAAAAAAAAATCTATAATTTTTAAACACTAAGACTTTCAACTTTCTGTGTTCTTTGTTTAAAACTTTATTTCTTTATATCTTATTTAAAAGAATACTGCTTTCAATTCCATGGTCCTGTCTAATAATCAGTTTTTAAGGGTAAAAAAAACTACCATACCATTCTTTTATGTTATATATCTGATTGACCTGTCATTTAAATTTATCATAGCAGGATGTTAGGAAAACTAAAACAAAAAAACTTGAGAGTTTAAATATTTAATATTTAGTAAACATACATGAAATTATTAAAAAATGATTTTGCAATGCCAAACTTATGTGAAAATATGCCACAAAGTATTTTATTAATAAATTTATTGTGTTTTGTTTAAAACCTTTTTATATAAAATGACAATTTTAACAGGTTTAAATATTGAAGTATTTCTCTAAAGACAAGCAAAGAAAATCATGGTAGAATGCTGCCTACATAAGGTGATGTTTTAAAATATTTTTATTGCTGAGGCAAATTATAAACTTAAAATTTGTAATTTGGAACGACCTAAAGCAATTTTTGCCTTTTTTGACTAACTGACTAGACAACTCGTTCTATAATCTCCTCTACAACTCTAAAACTCAGTTTTATGATTACGATTTATGAGGCCAACTGATAGTTAGGTTTCCCGAACTCTGTGGTAGCTCTTAGAGAGGCTGATTTCACCAACAGCTGTAAAGTAGCAGAGTACAAACAGTGTCATGTTGGCTGTAAATGGCGTCCCTGTTTGTACTTTTGGTGTGCATTGTTGAGGCCAACTTTTGAGTCCTTTGTTACCCCTTAGGCTTTAATAATAGTAATGAGGCAATTGCTTGAACTATAGAATAATGTACTGAGTATTATCTGTGCTTTGAGTCAAGTTCTTTAACAAATCCAAAAATGACTAAAGTTCCAAATATAGAACACAAAAAAACATCGCCATTAACAAGTTCTCTTAATCTATTATTCACTAATACTCATGGTCTTCAAAGTAAATTTACTTCTGTTGAGTCTCTTGCAAAGTTCACCAGACCTACTTGACTAACTTGGTACTTTGATGAGCTTAGTGTTGATAGTTAGTGTTGATGTTTAGCACCACTTTGTTATATCACCTTTCACTTTGTTCTACATTGCTCTGCTTTATCTCAAGACTCTTTTCGATGTTATTTCTGATCAAATAGACCAAGCCCTTTCTCTTTATATTTCAGTCAATATTGTTATTGTTGGTGACTTTAATGCTCAACACACTGAATGGCTCGGCTCTAGTGTCAGAGACTCTGCAGGTGTTAAGAACCTCATCTTTCACTTTTTTCAATCTTTAACACAAATAGTCAATTTCCTAACTTGCTTTCTAGACAATCTGAATCATTTACCTTATAAACTCAACTTATGCCTTGTTTCTGACCCTACTCAGTGCTCAGTTTCTCAATATCAACCCTTAGGTGCTTCTGATCAAATTTTGATCACTTTAAAACTATTATCTCATTCTTCTTCATCATTAAGATCCCCTTAATAACGTACCTCTTACAACTGAGACTCATTGCATGACTTTCTTTGTGATGGCCCTTGGGTAGAAATCTTTCCTGCTGACAAATGTGCTTCTTATGTAACATCTTGGATTTAGGCTGGCGTGAATCTTTTATTCCCTCTCAACATAATTCTGCTCATTCTCACCTCTTGTCCATGTTTTTCAATCTCATTAATCAATCTCATCTCTTGATTCCACTAACCACAACCTACCTAATATAGCCGACAAACAGGTTGATCCATTGCTTGAAATTTGTATCACTCAATTTGTATCAAGCTTCTGTATCAAAGTGCTTAGACTTATACAGCTTGTGGTCTGAACCAAATGTATTTTATAGTCTTGCAGAAGTGTTCCCAGAAGCTGTCATCTATACTTTCAAAAGATGAATACAATTAAGGTGGCGATGTTTGTTGATGATACAACCATTAATTTTTGTTTTTATAAGAACCAACACTCTCTGATTCTTCCTTACCAATCATAGTACAAAAGTCCTCGATGGACAACACTATTCTTAATTTCCTGTAACTTTCTCAAGGTTCTATGCTTGGCCTTATTTTATTTACATTAACAATCTTTGAGAAATTCTCACATCTAAGGTGCATTGTTTGCTGATGATACTACCATTTATTCTAACCTTGATAAGAAGCATACACTCTCTGACTTCTTGGAGGGTGCATTTGAGCTTGAAAAAGATCTCATTTCTGCTGCAGCACGAGGATCTCAGCGGCTGGTAAAATTTAACTCAGATAAAACTCAATATTTTGAGGTAATTGTTATTGCAACAGTCTAGATCCTCCTATATTTATGAATGGTAATGTACTCAATGAGTGCATTACTGTGTGTGTGTGTGTGTGTGTGTGCGTGTGTGTGTGTGTGTCTGTGTGGGTGTGTGTGTGTATGTGTGTGTATACGCATTAGCGCTTGCATATATCTTTGTGAGAGTGCTCGATGAATTAAAGTAAATTAAGATGATTTAAATTAAAACAGAGCTGTATTTACATAGTTTCTTTTTCTTTTACGATTGGGGGTTACTTTGGTATCAATTTTAGGGTTGCATTTGAAGCTAAAATCTTTGAACCTTTTTTTTTTAGGGCTTTGTCATATTCTGCCCTTGCCGAGTTAAATATTTTTTTGTCAGAAGAATTCTGGGATAACCTATCATTGATAGCAATCAAAATTTGTTTAATAATTTGTGGGGGGTGGTTGGACTCAGTATGGATGTAAAGTAGGTTGCTATTTAGTTTTTTGAAAGGATGATATGAGTCTTTTTAAAGGTTAAACATGATGTCTAAGAAGTTAGCAATTGTTAGGTTTGTCATATTCTATTTAGAAGCCGATTTTTTTAAAAACTTTTTATAATATTTTTTATAAATATTATAAAAATTTGCAGATTTTTGGTTCAAAGATTTTAGCTTCAAATACAACCATAAAATTGATACCAAAGTAACCCCAATTGTAAAAGAAAAAGAAATATAATCTGATTTAACCCACCATACAATAAATACAAAACATTCTCATAAATATAGACAAAACTTTCTTACAATTAATCGAACACTTTACAAAACCAAATCCGCTTCATAAACTATTTAACCGTGATACAACAAAAGTCAGCTTCAGCTGTACAAGCAACAATGCAAAAATTATAAAGAACCACAACAATAAAATTATTTTGATGAACTCAATGGCCACTTTAGCTTGCAATTGTAAACTAAGCGAAATCCCCCCTACGAACGGAAATTGAAGAAAAACAAATGTAATTTATAAGTGCATTGCATCATTCCCAAACACACCAGACAAAACATATATTGGTTCAACATAGGGCATGTGGAAAACTAGATGGGCGAATCACAAGCAATCCTTCAAAAATAAAAAACTCACAAACGCAACCACGCTTTCAAAATATTTATGGGATACACAAAATAAACCAAAAACAACACCCAATATAAAATGATCCATCATAAAATCTGCCTCTGCCTACAATAGCATAACCAAAAAATGCCTGTTATGCCTATATAAAAAACTATAAATTTTATTGTATAAAAATCCTAAAGAGTTATTAAACAAAAAAAACAAATTGATATCTAAATGTCGCCATGAGAACAAGTTTTTGCTGGACAACCATAAACCAAAAGATTAGATTTTTCTAAATCATTTTCTTTTGTACAGATTTATTATTTTTTCACGAGAAAAGAACATATTTACACCTGACGATTGCATTGAGCAAGAAACTTATAGTTGTGAAAATATGTAGTTTTATTTATAAAAAATATATGTATATATATATATATATATATATATATATATATATATATATACATATATATACATATATATACATATATATACATATATATACATATATATACATATATATATATATATATATATATATATATATATATATATATATATATATATATATATATATATATATATATATATACATATACATAAATATATAGATAGCTTACATAATGTACCTTAATATCTCGATGTATTATTGGCGGATCATGATCATGAAGTAATGCTAAAACTTCACACGTGTCACAAAACATTTTAAGTATCATCTTCTCAGAAAACCCTGTATTCATATTTTCATTCATCAAATCAATTACATTACCTAAAATAAAAAACAATAACACTTAAAATTATTAAAATTAAAAGAAACATAAAATATAATAAGTTTCTGTTCTGTAAAATGTTACTTGTATATATTATATAAAAACATCTTAATATTCCTAAAAATGTTTTATTTCTTCTTTTAACGTTTCTATTATACTTTCTATTCCACCTGCAATTACTGAAATTCTGAATTTGTTACCATTTAAATTATAAATGAAACAATTTGAGATAAAATGACCCATTTGTATATAATGTGAGGTGATTTGTATGTCTATAGCTACAAGATCATTTACAGATTTTTGCTGTTTGAAAAGCTTATTATACAAATCAGAGTTATACAAATCAAAGTTATACAAATCAGAAGAGTATGGATAACTTAGAAAAATACTTTTGAACTTCTGTCACTGCCCCTTTCATGTTAGCAGAATTTTCAAGAAAAACAAAGTACACTTTCTTAGTTTGTTTTTGCCTTTTTACCTATGAGAGCCTGTTATTTTTTTTAACTTGAACTAGTTTTGTAACTAATAAGTGTATTACACTTACTAGACACAAAACATTACTAAGCTTGAGGACATGTTTAATAAGCTCAGGAAATGGGCATCAAGTGAACCGAGACAATTCATTGAAGAACTGAGATGTGTAGACAGCCAGTCATACTTTTTAGTTACAGACCAAGGATTTAAAAAAGGATGTTATAACAACATTATTTCTATCACACACTTTGCTGTTATTTATTTACTTGTTGAAGAAGATCCATTTATGGATGGGATACATTTGCTGTGTTATTATTTTTAAAACCTTAAGAATAACTTTATATAAATATATATATAAGGAGGGAATATATAAAAATATAAATAATAGGAGGGAATATATAAAAATATAAATAAAAATTTTATTTATTTATATTTTTATATATTCCTTTATAAATTATTTCTTATCATTTTTTTACCACATTTTTATGTTTTTATTTTTAAATTTTCATAATTTTTTGAAGAATGATTTTCATCAATGTCAAAATAATTCAGAATCAAACTTGTCAAAAACTTGTCAGAATCAAACTTGTCATAAACCATATTAGAAATAATTAAAAATACAATATATATTTGGCCATAGAGTATCCATTTAAATATGAGGTCGATGCATTGAGATAAATATAAGATAATAAATACTCTAAAAAAATTATAATAATATTTTAAAATCCTAAAAATAATTGTATAATGAAATAAACTTAAGACTTATAAAATTCTAAAATAAATTTATGAAAATAAATTTAATACTTTAATTTAAATATATTTAAATAAAACAAACTTTATTTACAGAATAACCTGAGTTGAGAAATTTGTTAAAAAAATCAATTTGGAAAAAATTTCTTATGGAAACATGCTATAAGGACTCCCAGAATTTATTTTTTTGTTTCCTATCATAAAAAATATCCTCACTCAAAAATGTAAAAAAGAAAACATTTTACTGAGGGTCTGGAGAGAATTCATTTAATATAGGAGAGCACATAACAATCTTGTTATCCAAATAAAGTAGGATACTAATGTTAAATGAGAATGACTCACAAAAAAGTATTTATTACTTGTATTTTGTGTTTTTATTCTACTATTAGTATTTTATCAATGTCTTCTAAACTCTAAACAAAACAGTTTCAGATTTATTGTAGTTTCAAAACAGTTTCAGATTTATTGTAGTTTCAAAACAGTTTCAGATTTATTGTAATTTCAAAACAGTTTCAGATTTATTGTAATTTCAAAACAGTTTCAGATTTATTGTAATTTCAAAACAGTTTCAGATTTATTGTAATTTCAAAACAGTTTCAGATTTATTGTAATTTCAAAACAGTTTCAGATTTATTGTAATTTCAAAACAGTTTCAGATTTATTGTAATTTCAAAACAGTTTCAGATTTATTGTAGTTTCAAAACAGTTTCAGATTTATTGTAGTTTCAAAACAGTTTCAGATTTATTGTAATTTCAAAACAGTTTCAGATTTATTGTAGTTTCAAAACAGTTTCAGATTTATTGTAGCTTCAAAACAGTTTCAGATTTATTGTAATTTCAAAACAGTTTCAGATTTATTGTAGTTTCAAAACAGTTTCAGATTTATTGTAGTTTCAAAACAGTTTCAGATTTATTGTAGTTTCAAAACAGTTTCAGATTTATTGTAATTTCAAAACAGTTTCAGATTTATTGTAGTTTCAAAACAGTTTCAGATTTATTGTAGTTTCAAAACAGTTTCAGATTTATTGTAGTTTCAAAACAGTTTCAGATTTATTGTAGTTTCAAAACAGTTTCAGATTTATTGTAGTTTCAAAACAGTTTCAGATTTATTGTATAGTTTATCAAATATTTTAAAGTTAGATGAACTCTCAACTTGTTAAACTGCATTTTTGTATGGGACATTATTCATAATAGCATGTCTATTGCTTTTAACCAAAACTTTAAATTTAAAAGTGATATTCATAAGTACAAACTTAGATCGATAGCTTGTTGTAATCTAGCTCTACCTTCTAAAAAACAAAACAAGTAAATATGATACTTAATCTACTAAATATCAATCAATTCTCCCCTAGAACTTTCTCCTAATTTCAATAAAAACAAGTCTTCGAAACATTTCTAGAAATACTTTTTACTCCTTTTTGAAATAAGCACATATTTATGTATCTATAAATATATGTAAGTATTTATACCCATGTATAAATGTAAGTGTGCATATATGCGTTCTGTATATGCGTACATATAAAAATATATGTGTAAGTGAATATATTTACTTATCTATGTGTGTTTACTTGCATATATATCTATTTGTTCATGTATATATATATACTACAATTTTTAAATAAAGCTGTTATTTTTATTGTTGTTAGTTTTATTGTTTTTCTTATTATTAAAAGTATTTTAATTATTACTATCATTATTATTATTTATTTTTATTAAATGCTTTACATTATCAAAGGTCTTTACACCTCATCAGTTTTCAACTGTTTGTAATTGTTCCCCAATGTTATATAAATATATATATATATATATATATATATATATATATATATATATATATATATATATATATATATATATAATATATATATATATATATATGTATATATATATATATATATACATATATATATATATATGTATATATATATATATATATATATATATATATATATATATATATATATATATATATATATATATATATATATATATATATATATATATATATATATATATATATGTACTAAAATAATTTAAATGAAAAAATACAACTTTATAATGAAACTTAAAGTTTCATGTCTTTTGGCAATCATCAGCCATTTTATTTAAAAATATAAAATAAAAACCGTTATAAAAAATACAAGTTTAGTGTTTGGCATCTGACATCAAATATACGTGATCTGATATCTGCTAATTGCCAGAATCGAAGTGAGATAGTAAAAAATTTTCCTATGCCTATAAGCGAAAATCAATTCATTTTTTTTGTAAAGAAGTGATCCACAATCAAAAGTCATAATAAAATATTTTTAATAAAAACAAAGGTTATACTTTTTTGTAAATGGGTTGTAAGATTAGCATCTTTTAATTATGTTCCACCTAATTTTAGGCATGTTACCTGCATCATTATGTTACCAGATCTCTTTGGAAAGTTCTGGATCATTTCTATACCTGGTTACATTAAAGGATTTAAAGTGGTTTACAAACCTAAGCTTGAATGCATTTTCACAAATACCGATGTAAGAATTTTCTTAAGACTGGGATTAGGTGATGCTAAAGTATACAAAAAATTTTGAGACATTTACAGGCATGTGGTTTTCAGTTTGAATTATTAGCGGTGGTTTTCAATTTGAATTATTAGCGGTGAGTTTGTTGTGCAAAACTTTTGTGTGAATTAATAATTGATTAAGTATTTGGCATGCAGCTGTAACAAACTTTTATTGTACTTTTTTGGAAAATTTTGTGGAGCTTATGATAAAAAATGAAAATATGAAACTTTAAGTTCCATTTTAAAGTTGTATTTTTTCATTTTAATTATTTTAATATAACTTGATCTATTTTTTAAAGAAAGAGTTGTATTTACAACAGTATACAACATTTATCAATATATATATATATATATATATATATATATATATATATATATATATATATATATATATATATATATATATATATATATATATATATATATATATATATATATATGAGTTATGCAAGAGTAATTAGATGCAACTTTAGCAGATCCTAATTTTGTAATGGATTTGATGGTTTCCAAAAAAGATCAAAAATAAGAGTTAATCCTAGAAGACAAAGGGGGATGCAGATGACTTATCTACCCTTTGTCGAGTACGTTACTATTCATAAATATAGGAGGATCTAGATTGTTTCGATTGCAATTATCTGAAAAAATTGAGTTTATCAGAGTTAAAGTTCACTAGCCACTGAGAGCCCCATGCTATAGCAGAAGTGAGATACTTTTCAAGCTCAAATGCCCCCTCCAAGAGATCAGAGAGTGTATGTTGCTTATTAAGGCAAGAATAAATCGTAGTATTATCAGCAAACAATGCCACCTTGATGTAAGAATTTCTTAAAGATTTTTAATGTAAATAAAAAAAGAATAAGACCAAGCTTACCTTTAGGAAGTTACAGGAAATAAAGAAGAGTACTGTCCATTGAGGACTTTTAGAAAATGATTGGTAAGGAAGAATTCAATAATCTTAATGTTACCTAATACACCTTAAGAAGAGAGCTTATGGAGAAGACCAGCATGCCAAGCTTTATTAAAGGCTTTAAATGATGCACAATAAAACCTATCAGATATTATCATTAACAAATCAGCAGTAGAACAAGATTGAAATCCATGTTGATGATCAGAAAGTAACTTATTTAACTCAAGATAAGAGATTTGGTTTTGCTAATTAAAGACTCATAAACCTTATGATAGTAAGAAGACTAATATGACAATAGTTAGACAAATCAGATTGCTTTCCAGAATATTTGAAAACAAGGAAAAT